CCCCGGCCCCGCCCCCGGCCCCTCTCACCCCGCCCACTCTCCGGCCCCGCCCCCGGCCCCTCTCACCCCCGCCCACCCGTCGGCCCCGCCCCCGCGCCCGGGTTCCGAGAACCCACCCAGACCCGGCCCAGCGTCCCGGCTCCCGCCCCGCGGTGGCGGTCACGTGGCGTGCGACCCGGAGGCGGAACCGGCCTGCGCGGCGCCGACTCCGCACGGAGCACCGAGGACCGGGCGGGCCTGCGGCGACCCGGCGCCCCCCGCGCTCCGCCATGCGGCCCGCGCGCTCCCCCGCCGCGCCGCTCGCGCTGCTGGCCGCGCTGCTGGCCGCGCCCCGGGCCCTGGCCGAGGCCCCGCTCCTGGTGCTCGTGGACGCGGCCCGCGCGCTGCGGCCCCTGCGGCCCTTCTGGAGGAGCACCGGCTTCTGGTGAGCGCTCCGCGCGGGGAAGCTGAGGCCCGAGAAGCCAGTCCCGCCGCCATCCCGCCGCGCGCCCCCCCCGGACGCGGGACGCGCTCCCCGCCCGCGGGCTCCCTGGACCCCTTCCTCGCGGCGGCGCCCTGCCGTCCGACTGCGGTTTTCCCTGTGGGCCCGAGCCGCGCGGCGTCCGCGTGCGCCCGGGGCTTCGCCGTGGGTGCCGCGTGCGGTGGGGGCCTGCGGACGCGCCCTGATTTTGCCGGTGGCCGCTGGGGGCAGTCCAGGCCCCTCCCGAGGGGCGGCCCCAGCTGCCTCCCCTCCCCGCCCTCACGCCCCCACCCCGTGTCTGCCTGTCCCCCTCCTGCCCTCCCCCCCGTGCCTCCCACGCGCTGCCTGTCACGCCTACAGCTGAGATCACCTGGCTGGTGGGACAGGGAGCAGGCTGTTGGGATTTGGTCCTCTCTCCTCAGGGACCCTCCGACCTCCGTAAACATGAGCCTCGGTAACGTTCCTGGCGCTAGAGGCCATTTTATTACATCAGGGACGGTAAAGTTCATCGGCAGACACTCCCGGTCCAGCTGCTGGAGACTGGGGTCCTGGGCAACCTGGGGCCCGGGTTGGTAGGTGCAGGGGCGTTTGGCGGTCCCGCCCCTGGGACTGATGCCCACTCCCCCTTGTTCTGTCCCCAGTCCCCCACTGCCTCACAGCCAGGCTGACCAGTATGACCTCAGCTGGGACCAGCAGCTCAACCTGGCCTACGTGGGCGCTGTCCCTCACGGTGGCATCGAGCAGGTCCGGACCCACTGGCTGCTGGAGCTCGTCACAGCCAGGTGAGTGGTGGGGGCAGCTGGGCAGAGCGCCCTTGCTGGAGGTGAAGACAGAGCCTGAGAGGAGGCAGTGTGCCGGTGCAGTGGGGGGGGGGGGGGTCCGAGCAGCTGTTGCCCCGACACTCCTCGGGCAGAGTGTCCTGTGTGGAGGAGGCCGTGTGGGGCTGTGGGGGCCGCTGGGGCAGCCCTGAGTTTGGGCACAGCTGGCTTCCCGCTGGACAGGCCTTGGAGGCTCAGGGTCCTACGCGTGCCCCACTGCACCAGCTTTGTGGCTGGGGGCAGCCCCAGAGAGCGGGCACCCACCTGGTGCCCCGTGTTCTCGGGTCCTGCCCAAGGGCTGGGCTGCACTTGTGTGGGTCACGCCCACCTTTGGCCCTGCAAGGCTCAGCCCGGCCAAGACTCAAGATAGAAGGAACACTTGGGTGTGTGTTTGAAGGGCTTCCAAAGACACAGAGACCCCGCGGCTCTGGCCAGAGCTGCCACCTCTCACCTGGTGGGGCTGGGTGAGGCCTCACAGGCAGGCCAAGGGAGGCCTCACAATTGCCTCGGGCCCTTCCTCAAATAAGATGGCGACACCCCGCGTCAGATTGACCCTGCAGGGCCACGTACACACAGCACCGCGGCCCGGGGTGGCACTCTGGTGACTTGTTTCAAAGGCGCGGCTCTGAGTCGTTCGTGTGTTTCCTGGTTCCTTGGGAGCACAGCCTCAGTCTCGGGGGGACCGTGCTCGTTGACATCAGCGACCGATGGTGTGAGCGTGTCTGCCGAGGGCTCCTGGGAGGGCACACGGGCCGTGCTACAGGGCGGAGTCGGTGGCCCTCTGCTCCCCGTGGCGGGCTCGGGCCACCTGCACGGCGCTGTGCACGCTGTGGAAGAGCTGCCCCTCCTCGCCCGCGTCCCCCGGGTCCTCCCCGAGGAACCCGCCTCTCTTCAGGGTGTCCCTCACCGCGGGGCTGCAGCAGGCCAGGAGCAGGGTGATGCCCAGGGCCCTGTAGTCTCGGCGCAGGTCCTGCAGCGTGGCCACGCCGGCCACGTCCAGGAACAGCAGTGGAGCGCAGTCGATGACCACTGCGTGGAAGCTGGCCGCCATGGGCACCAGCTGTGCAGCCGTGCTGCTGACGGGGCTCAGGTCCGTGCCCTCGGCGGGGTCTCCCTCACTGACCCTGGCCTCTGGGCCCCGCCCCTTCCTCGTGGTGGCCACCATCCCTGCATCCAGCCCTGTGAGGCTGTAGAGCGACCGCAGGAAGAAATCCTTGTTGGCGTAGTAGAGCGGCCCCGCGAAGCGGAACACGTGCACACCCGGCTCCGGGACCAGGCCCTCAAACTCCACCGCATCCTCGTAGAAGCCAGAGTCCCCAATCTGAGCGAGCAGGGTGGCCCGTGGGCGTTGCGTGCGGCCAGCCAGGCTGAGCAAGGACAGGAGGATGCCAGCCAGCAGTCCGACCTCGATGCTGACCAGCACGCAGGTGGCCGCGGTGGCCACCCAGACCAGCGCGTCAGCCGGGCTGAGCCGCCACAGCCGCGGGACGTCCCTCACCTTGCGCAGGGCCCCGCGCAGGCTGACGATGATGACGCAGGCCAGCACACTCCGCTGCAGGTCCCGGAACAGCGGCGCCAGCACCAGCAGCACCAGCAACACCACGGTGGCGCTGACCACGCTGGACAGCTGCGTGTGGCAGCCGGTGGCCGTCTTCACCAGGCTCTTGGACAGAGCCGCGCTGGTGGCGAAGCAGTGGAAGAAGGCGGGCAGCACGTTGCAGCAGCCCACGGCCAGCAGCTCCTGGTTGGGTCGCACGGAGTAGCCATGGCTCCGGGCGAACATCTCCGCCAGGGAGATGGAGAAAGCGGAGCCCACCAGGGCCAGGGGCACGGCGTCCAGCACCACGCGCCACATCAGCCCAGGGTCCGGCACCCGGGGGGCCATGAAACCAGTGGGGATGTCCCCGGCCACGCTGGAGCCAAAGCGCTCGTGGAGCCGTCCAAAGTGGGACACCAGCGTGGCCGCCACAATGACCAGCAGCTCCGTGGGCAGGGGCACCTTCAGGCGGTGGCGGCAGTGGTCGGACAGCTCCTTCCCAGCCAGCAGCACGGCCAGGCACGTGGCACTGGTGAGCACGTCGCACAGGTTGGCCTGCCCGGCGCTGCGCGCCAGGCTCAGCCACGTGCTGAGCACCATGCCTGGCCCTTGGTGCCGCGGGACCCTCACGCCTAGCAGGTGCTTCAGCTGCGAGGTCAGGATGGTCACCGAGGTCCCCATGGCAAAGCCATCGAGCAGGGGCTGTGAGAGGTAGGTGGACACGAAGCCCAGCCGGAGGATGCCCATGAGGACCTGTGGACAGACGAGGTCAGGGCAGCGGTGCCACCAGTGGGTGGCCGAGGCACAGAGCCTAACACCCCTTCCTCACTGCTGCCACCTTCCCGAACGGGCTCTGTCGGAGTCCCCTGCCCACACACGTGCTCACACGGGCACACCAGACATGGAGGTGCACACGTGCCCTTATGTGCTCGCTTCTGGTTCTCACACGTGTGGGCTCCAGGCGCTGGAAAGCCACTTCTTTCTCCTCTCCTGCGGGTGGCACTGTCCCTCTCCCCCGAGACCTGGGGCCCTTGGGAGGGTGTGACATCGGGGTGGACAGGACAGCCCTGGCAGAGGGTGTGGGGAGGCTGCGGGAAGTCAGGCGGCCTCGGGGTCCCTCCTAGGACAGGAAGCTGCGTGGGCCACAGTCAGGCATTTCTGGAGCTGAGGCCACACTCAGCCCGCCATTCCTGGAGAGGGTCCCTATTCCTGGGCACCCTCAGACCCTCGGGTGCCCCGTCCAGGGGTGCTATCCCATGCCCATTTGTGATCTGTGTCTGTGCCTGCTCTGTCCTTGCTGGTGAGGCCTTGACCCTGCAGTGCCCTGGCCCTGACCCTTCTGGGGTGGGGGTGAGCAAGCGAGGGACCTTGACCTGAGTGCCGAGTGGCCGGTCTGGACCTGCGCCCGGCTCTGGAGCCCAGCGTGGCCGGCGCCTCACCTGGTAGGTCCCAGCCACTAGCGTGAGGGCGGAGGCGACACGGATGGCATAGCAGTCCTGCCCGCAGTCCTGTGGCACGAGCGTGGGTGCAGCCGAGGCATTGAGGGCGCTGCCGTTGTCCCCGGGCCCCAGGCCGTCTCTGGCGGGGTCGAAGCCAGCCAGCAGGAGCTCGCGGTCCACCACCTGGCCCACCATGAGGCAGAGGAGGCTGAAGATGCCCATGGACACGTGGCGTGAGGTGCCCATGAGGAAGTAGATGAGGTTCGCGAAGAAGGACGTGTACAGACTGTAGATGGGCTGCAGCCCAGCCAGGAGCGAGTAGGCGATGGCCTGCGGCACCAGGATGATGCCGATGACCAGCCCGGACATGACATCGCCCGCCAGGGCCTCCCGCGGGCGGTAGTGGCGCAGCCAGCGTGTGGCGGGGAGCAGGTCCTGCACCAGCTGCCAGGCCCCGCGTGAGCTGCACGTGCGGCCCCGCCACAGCCTGGCTTTAAGCATCTCGCGCAGGCCGGGGGGCACTGGGGGCCGCCGGCGGACCAGCACCAGCCCCCCGCCCTGCTGCGGGCAATCCGGGGACACTTCCATCCTGGGAAAACCTGAAACAGAGGTGGGCATCACCGCGGGGTCAGCGGGCGGCAGAGTCCCCGCTCCGCGGCTCCCTGCCCACATCCCCGCGCCCATATCCATGCCAGAGGCCCCTCCGCTCCCTTGCCCAAACCACCAGGGTCCCTCCGGCGGCCTTCCGTCACCTCAGCACCATGGGCCCTGGGCCTGGAGGAAGAGGGCCTCCTGGTGCCCCCTGGAAACTTGCAGAGTGGGACCCCAGATCTTTGCTAGGGGAGAGGCTGCCCTCACAGCCGTGCTGGCCACCCCCCACCCCCCAGTCCTGTGGCAGAATTCCTAGCACGTGCTTTGGGAGGGTGATCTAGACGGGGCCAGCTGGGAGGGAAGTGGGGGTGACATGGCATCTGTCACCTGCCCAGTCAGCTGGGACTGTGGGACACACTCCTGGATTTGGGTCTCAGACCACACAGGTGCAGCATGGAGCGCACAAGTCTGGGACTGTCGCTTGTGTACCGAGGGCAGCTTGCCTCCCGAGGCCCCGCCCTGGCCTTGACTTCTCACTCTGGCCCAGGACGTGGGGCCTGGAGTTTCCCTGGGCTGTGGAGGACGGCCTGGGAGGAGGTGTGGGCGGGCAGCCACAGCCCCCCGGGAGCACTAGACAGACGTTATGAGTTGTGTGTCCTTCCTGCAGAGACCTCACCACACAAGGGTCCCCCAGCCCCCCGGGGTCTAGGTGTGTGGAGCGAGGACTGTTGAAATGACATCTGCCTTGTGCCTGAGGGTCCGTAAAGGAAACCCTAAAACAGTCCCACCCTCCTCTTCCCCCAGGGAGCTGCCTCTGCTGTGGCTCTGGGGCTTCACGGTCCCGCAGCGGGGCCCTGGGTGCTTCTTACCTGATGGAGCCCCTCACAGGCCGGGTGGGCGGGAGGGCAGAGAGGCCCCTGGCCCGTTGGCCCTCCAAGACCAGACTCCACTGGCCGGCTGCACCTCCAGAGCCCTCTGGCTCGTTAGCCGGTGGGGAAGTGTGGACGGCGGGTCTCTGACACAGCTGGAGCCGGGAGCCAGGCCGCAGCAGACGGGGCGCCCACCGAGGGCAGCGCTCTGTGGTCCCCACGTGACTGCGTAGCCAAACTGGGCTTGCAGTTCAATTATTTACCCCAAAGGTTGCTGAGTCATGGGTTTCCCCCAGATGAGCGCTACCTGAGTGGCTAATCCAGGGAGCTGCACTGTAATCCCAGGCTCACTCGCAATCACGATTGTGTGGACCTCTGATGAGCTCACAGCCTCCCATGGGGTCTGGGTCTGGGACAGGGTGGGTGAGGGCAGCACATCGCTGGAGCAGGGAGCTTGGGTTCCAGGGTCCTTGGGGAGGTAGAAGGCGCGTGAGCCCAGCCAGCCCCGGGATAGGCTCTGGCCGCCTGTGACCCTGCAGCTCCGGCCCAGTATTGTGGTTGCACGACTGACCAAGGATGAGAGGGGGGCGGGGGGCGGGGGGGGGGGCGGTATCTCCGTCCCGTCCCTGGACATCCTCTCCGTTCTGCTGTCAGACGGTTCCGGTCTGCGCTGGAGCACGGGCCCCGCTGTGCCTGAGACACCTGGCCACTGGCCAGCCACATCCCGGCCTCTGTTCTGTGTCCTCGTGTGGAAAGCAGGTGTGGGGCTGTTGCTGAGTGTGTGTGCACATGTGTGTGGATTGCTGTGGGCAGGGGGCCACTAGGCGTCGGGACGTGTTGCCAGGCAGGTGTGCCTTTCAGGCTGTGGGAGTGGCAGCCAACCCCCGGTGACTGGCAGGCGCGTCTCCAGCCTCTGTGTGGCAGGTGGGGTCTGCCTGGGAGAGCTGGAATGAAGGTAACTGATTCCTTTAAATGATCACCCTCACGCACCACCAAGGGTGGGGCTGTTTTTTAAATGATCATTCTGAATCTCAGGTCCCCCACCTTTACATCGAGTAAGTGAAAGTGAGCCTCTGTCACCGCCACGTTGAAGGATCACGTGGAGAAGGGCCCTCCAGTGGGCGTGCCCACCCAGGACAGAGCTGAGGGGCTCCTCTCCACTTACCCCCCAGAGCCCAGCCCAGGACCCACTTGGCCCCGGTGGGGAGCGTTTGCCCAGACGAAGAGCTGTGTTTTGGGCCGGGGGGGACAAGCTATAGCAGTTCAGGGCTTCGGGCCCCTCCCTGGGACAGATAAGGTTCACCTCAGGGTGCAGAGAGGAGGGTAGCTATTGAGAGGGTCATATAAACTTTATCTCCTGCCCCAGCTACTGGCAAGGGGACAGTGAGAGAATTCCTTGGGTGGCCTGTCTCATGGCCCTTAGGGTCTCCCCAGATGGGGGACAGAGTGCAGGCTGTATGGCATGGAGGAGCAGAGGCCAGGGCGCACACGTGTGTGCATGCTGGAGCGGGGCGTGGGGCTGGGCGCTGGTGTAGAAACAGGATACTTGGGGTGGGGACCTAGTGTAGGAAGGGGGGGAGCAGGGGGCTCTGGACGGGAAGCGCCTGAGGTGAGACTCACGCAGGCGGAGATATTTCAGGGAGGCGCTGTGTTGGCCCATCCAGAGCCCCTGTGGAGGGCTGGCCTCGGCCACCGCAGCCCCTGCCCAGGCTGCCTGTCTAAACCAGGCGAAGAGAGAACACTGAGGTCACAGGTGACCTTTGAGAGCGTGCAGGACACTGCCCCCGCCGTGCCCCGCGCCTGTTTCTTCGTGCACTGAGGCTGGCGCTGGTCACCTGTGGTCTGGCCAGGCACAGAGGGGCTGCTGACGCCCACGCGTGCCCTCATTAAGGTGGGCAGGGGCCACGGGGTCCGGGGCAGATCCGCCGGGACCTTCCTCAGTGGGGGCTTCTGCCCAGCTCGATGCCACGTGGCTGTTTCCTTAATATTTGTCCTCAAATCACCAAGCACGCTTGTTTGGAAAGGAAATATTGCATCCTGACCCCAAGTGCAAAGAGGAGGGGGCGACCACCTCCAGGGCCCTGAAGACCAGACCGAGCTTCTCCGTAAAGACGCGCGGTGCGCGAGCCCCAGGTTCGAGGTGGGAAGGTGGAGAGTCAGCGGCTGGCCCTGAGCCCAGCGCCCTCCCACCCGCATCCTCAGCCCCAGGGAGGCCCCCCGGGGCGGTCCGCGCTGCGCCTCGCTCCGAGCCCCCGCCGCCCGGGGCTGGCCGTGCGCGCTCCCCTCGCGCTCCCCTCGGTCAGTCCGCCCCGGGAGCGCGCGCCCCCCGCCGAGCACGCGCGGCCGCGCCCCCCCCGCCCCGCCCCCCCAGCACTCACCGGCCCGGCGCCGCGGGGGCCCCGGCGCCCGCGCTCAGGCCCTGCCGCGGGGGCCCCGGAGCCGCGTGCGTGAATGAGGCCTTTGTGCCGCCGCCGCAGTCCCGGCCCGCGTGCCAGGAGGGAGGCCTCGCGCCCGGTTCGGGCCCTTGCGGGAGGGGCGGGGGGGGCGGGACGGAGGCCCGTCGGGCAGGACCCACCTCTCTGCAGGGGGAGCGCTGGGGTGGGCTGCGCACTTCGCCTCACTGCCCAGCCCCCTCCCTAAATTAGGTTTCTCAAACCTGTCCCTGGAGGGAGCGGGGCGGAGAGACCAAGGTACAGACAGTGGGGTCTAAGGACCATTCCCTGGGGTTCCTTGGCCAGGGGTCGCCTCTGAGGTCGGGTCTTCTGGCTTTAGGGCAGGTGTACTAGCCCCCAGGGTACCCTCGGCTGCCGAGACTGGGGAGGGGGACACGCCTATCCACTTATGTTGACAGGCTGGGGATGCCTCTGCCCCTGGGGCTCCTCGGTGGCACCCGCTGGCCCAGGACACCAAGTTCAGGAGCGTTTATCTGAGGCCTGCTGTGCACCCTGCCCAGCGTAAGCTCCGCGCTGGCATTAGCGCTCCAGGGTGTGCAGAGGGCCCGGGAGCCCCTGCACAGGCCTTCACTTTCCCCCTGTGGCCCCGTCACCGTGGCCCACAACCCCCTCCCCCCCAGTAGGGGGACTTTGGAACCGTCTGCTGTGTGCATTTAATTTTTACCCAAGTGCTTGTTAGTTTTCTTTGCTGCCGGTTATGACCTTTGGATGGGAGAGACGGGTGAGGAGGGTGGTCCCTGCTGCCTGGGCTCCAGGTGGGCAGATGCGCCCTGCACAGAGGGGCCCGCAGGGGAAGCAGAGCCAGGGGCCCAGGACAGACAGGAACTTGTGTGTGGTGGCTGGACTGGGTCCCTTGGGTGGCTTCGGCTCAGCCTTGACCTTGTACAAAGTGAGGGGTGGGGGAGGGGAGGACACGGGGGCGGGGGGGGGGGTGTTCACCTGCCCGCATCCTCCCTGGGCCAGTCGAGCTGGGGCCTGGGACCCGGCGGTTGACAGATGAAAAGCTGTTGAGGGCCAGATTCCATGGTGACCCCACCCTGTCCCAACTGTCTGCACCCAGGACAAACCCGGCTGCCACAAGAGGGCGCGACGCAGGCATTTGCCGCCTCCCTCCCTCAGAAGGACAGTGAGCAGCTGTGTTCTCAGGGGAAGCCCTGAGCCCCCTGCCAACCCACCTGGCTGTGCTCCTCACTGGGCACGCCCCTCCCCAACCCGGGCCAACCCCGGCTCAGCACCTGCCCCACCCCGCCTGCGCCTGACCGGAAGGCCACCAGCTCCGTCACCCAGTCCCCATGCCAGGCCCACCCGTGCATGTCCGCCTCCCCGTGGGCTCGCCCCTGCCCACCTAGCTGCTCGAGCAAAGTCTTCAGGGTTGTGCGGGACTTTCCCCGTCCACGAGCACATGGCCCTCTGCCTCGTAAGTGCATCTGCTCCAGCCCTTCCTTTGCGGCCACCACCCCTCTGCCCTCCAAACCCAGGCAAAACTACAGGGACGGGGAAAGGACCATCAGCTGTCAGGGGGCGGGGGCAGGGGGGTGAACAGGTGGAGCCGGGCATTTTTAGGGCAGTGAAGCAGCTCTGTGTGGCACCAGGCTGGTGGGCACCTGCCATTACGCGCCTGTCCAGTCCCACAGGATGTGTACCAAGGGTGACCCTGCCGTGGCCTCGCGGTGATGATGACGCATCAGCTCTAGCAGGTGCACCCCCTGGTGGGGTGTGGACCGTGGGGGGGACTGCGGGCGGGACGCGGGACGTCTCTGTGCCTCCCTCAGCTTTACTATGAGCCTGAAACTCCTCTTAAGGGGCACCTGGGTGGCTCGGTCAGCTGAGCGTCGGACTCCGGCTCACGTCATGATCTCACGGTTACTAAGTTCGAGCCCCGCATCAGGCCCTGTGCTGACAGCTCAGAGCCTGGAGCCTGCTTCCAATTCTGTGTCTCCCTCTCTCTCTGCCCCTCCCCTGCTCATGTTCTGTCTCTCTGTCTCTCAAAAATGAATATTTTTACAAAAATTTAAAAACTACTCTTAAAAAATAAGTCTTAAAGTCGTGGCACTTTTCTACTTGGACCTCTGAAAGGGCTCCCTATTTCCTTCTGAGTCAGGGTCCCATCCTCACCATGGGCATGACGCCTCCCTCACATGACTTGGTCTGTCACAGTGTGCACCCTATTCTGCCCCAGGCACACTTGTGCACTTGCTGCTTTCTGCTGCTTGACTACCATGACTTTATTCCGACCCCTGGACCTTCGCACGTGCTGCCTATCTGTTCCCTGAGGCATTCTCCTTGCTGGCCTGCCTCTTTACTTGGTTGTTACCTCAGAGAGGCCCTCCCTGCCTGATCCTTGGCTCCCTGTCCCTTCTCCTTCGTGGTACCTCTGATGTGTCCTTAAAGATTCAGATAGTTGCCTGATGATTTCTGTGCCCTGTCAGAACGTGAGCCCAGAGGAAATTGGACCCCAATCTGGGATGGGTGTAGTAGGGTGGAGAGGCCTCCCTTCTCCCTTTTCTGGCTGCCCAGGTTGCCTCCCAGAGTGTGGGAGACGGGAGAGGGTACTGTTGAGACACCTCTGGAGCCCTGGCCTCCAGGAGACGCGAAGATGCAGGCACGGCACCCACCAGGTGCTACCAGGCTCTTGCCCCGTGGCTCCCGGTCCACTGCTTCAGTATGCCTTGCCCTCCCCCACTCCGTCCTCTTTCCCAAAAGACCTGCCTGCCCCGTGCCACGCCTGAGCCCAAAGCCGTTCTGAGCTCCCAAAGGCTTGGGAGTGGGGTTCAGATACAGGCACGCTAGTTCATACTAAGCTGTGAATGACTGGTAGGCCTTCATCATTGGTGTTTCCAAAGAGCGGGACCCTTGAGACGTCGGGATCCGAGTCCTGGGTGGCACCTGGCAGGCTCCCTACCTGCGTGAACGTAGCCTCGGGTCCAGCCCAGGGCCCACTTCTCTCTGCCCTGACACTGAGTGTCCTCGTGTAGGGGGTCGGTCGAGCAAGGCCTGAGCTACAACTTCACCCATCTGGACGGGTACCTGGATCTTCTCAGGGAGAACCAGCTCCTCCCAGGTAAGCAGCCAGCTCCGCCCTCTGCCTGCCAGTCCTGGCCGCCCCACCCCCCGGGCTCCTCTGGGTCCTCACTGGTGATGCACCCGGAAGGCTGGAGCCCAGGCTGGGCAGGGCCGGGCGCCCTGGGGCCTGAGGCAGCAGGACAGCCACCTCCGTGTGTCGCAGGCTTTGAGCTGATGGGCAGCCCCTCCCAACGCTTCACCGACTTTGAGGACAAGCAGCAGGTGTTCCGGTGGAAGGAGCTGGTCTCCCTCTTGGCCAGGAGATACATCGGTGGGCAGGGCGCGGCCAAAGCAGGGGTGCTCCTGGGGAGGCTCCTCCCAAATCACCCAGGCCAGCTTGGTCTCTGTCACGAACCCTAAGCCGGGGTTCGTGCTCCTGCTGGGGGGGAGTGGGCTGGCCTGGAATGAGAGGTCCTCACCTCCAAGCCTCCAACCCTGGGCGGCCTCCCTGGGAGCTGGGATGGGCTTGGCCTTGCCCTTGGGGGGCAGGTGAGCCAGCGGGGACACTCCGCAGACAGGTACGGACTCTCGCACGTTTCCCGGTGGAACTTCGAGACGTGGAACGAGCCGGACCACCACGACTTTGACAACGTGTCCATGACCTTACAAGGTGGGCGGCACCCCCGGGGTCCTGTGGGCTGAGAAGGGCCGGGAGCAGCGCCTCAGGCGCTGGGGTGTGGACTCCGAGGCCCGTCCCCCCAGGCTTCCTGAACTACTACGACGCCTGCTCCGAGGGCCTGCGGGCTGCCAGCCCCGCCCTGCGCCTGGGCGGCCCCGGGGACTCCTTCCACCCCCTGCCGCGCTCCCCGCTGTGCTGGGCCCTGCTGGGGCACTGCCACCACGGCACCAACTTCTTCACGGGGGAGCGGGGCGTGCGGCTGGACTACATCTCCCTCCACAAGAAGGTACCAGAGCCGCCCCCCTCCCGCCTGCCGCGGCCCTGCCCGCCCTTCAGGGTCTCGGGGGCTGGCCCCCCACTGAGGTCGGCCTCCCTAGGGCGCGGGCAGTTCCATCTACATCCTGGAGCAGGAGCAGGCGACCGTGCAGCAGATCCAGCGGCTCTTCCCCAAGTTCGTCGACACCCCCATTTACAACGACGAAGCCGACCCCCTAGTGGGCTGGTCCCTGCCGCAGCCCTGGCGGGCCGACGTGACCTACGCGGCCCTGGTGGTGAAGGTAGGGTGGGCCTCCCCTGGAGCGGCATTCCTTCGGGGGGGACGGGCCCCTGCGGGAGGGGGGAGGGGCGGGCCCTGGGGGGGCCCTGGGACATCCCGACCCCCGGACCCCGCAGGTCATCGCGCAGCACCAGAACCTGCTGGTGGCCAACGCCAGCTCCCGCGTGCGCTACGCGCTGCTGAGCAACGACAACGCCTTCCTGAGTTACCACCCGCACCCCTTCACGCAGCGCACACTCACCGCGCGCTTCCAGGTCAACAACACGCGGCCGCCGCACGTGCAGCTGCTGCGCAAGCCGGTGCTCACGGCCATGGCGCTGCTCGCCCTGCTGGGTACCCGCCTCGCCCTCTCCGCGCCGGTGCACCCCGGCCGCGGCCTCGGTTAGGCAGGGCGGCCTTCCAGGCCCGGGGAAGCAGGGGGTCCGTGCCGGGCCAGGGGCGGGGGCGGCTCCTGCCCCGCCGGGCCCGCCCCCCGCCGCGCGCTGGGACGCAGAGGCGGCGGGGTGGCGGGGCGCCCCCTGGGGGTGGGGGGGCGGCAGGAAGCCAGGCCCCGGGCGGGCAGGGGGGCTGCGGCGGCCGCCTGGCGACAGCCCCCTCCCGCCCGTAGACGGCGAGCAGCTGTGGGCCGAGGCGCGGCGCGGCGGGGCGGGGCGGGCCGGCTCCCGCGCGGTGGGCGTCCTGGCCAGCGCGCACCGCCCCGCCGGCCCCGCCGACGCCTGGCGCGCCGCGGCGCTGGTCTACGCGAGCGACGACACGCGCGCCCACCCGAACCGCAGCGTCGCCTTGACCCTGCGCCTGCACGGAGTGCCCCGGGCACCGGGTGAGCCGGGGCCCCCGGGGAAGGGGTGGCTCTGGCGGGGCGGGGCCTGGAGGGGGCGGGCCCGGCGACGCGTGGCCGCAGCGTCCGGTCCGCAGGGCTGGTCTACGTCACGCTCTACCTGGACAACCGGTTCTGCAGCCCGTACGCCGAGTGGCAGCGCCTCGGCCGTCCGGTCTTCCCCTCCGCCGAGGAGTTCCGGCGCATGCGCACAGCCGAGGTCAGAGCGCGGGGTTGGGGGGGGGGGCGGCTCCTGAGGTCCCAGGGCCCCGAGCGCCAGTGTCTGTCCCCAGGATCCCATGGCCGAGGCGCCGCGCCCCTTCCCCGCCAGCGGCCGCCTGACGCTTCGCCCGGAGCTCCGGCTGCCCTCGCTCCTGCTGGTGCACGTGTGCGCACGCCCGGAGAAGCCCCCGGGCCAGGCAAGTGGCCGCCCCTGCGCCGCTGCCCAGGCCCCTCCAGCCCCCCAGTCACGGCACCTCTCTCCCTGCAGGTGACCCGGCTCCGAGCTCTACCCCTGACCAGAGGGCAGGTGCTCTTGGTCTGGTCGGACGAGCACGTGATCTCCAAGTGCGTGAGCGGGCTCTTCCCCAGGATCCCTGATCCCCGTCCTGTCCATCGCCACCCGTGCCCCCCAGTCCGGTCCCCGGAGGCTGCAGTGCCCACGTGGTCACTCAGCTGTGCTCCTCCAAGCCCTCTGCCCCTCACACCCCTGCCACCGCTGTTTGCACAACCACACAAACGGCCCAAGATGCCACACCTGTTGATGGAGGAGCAGAGTACCTCCCGGGGACGTTTACAGGTGGCAGTTGGGCCCCCGATTCCTCTGTGCATCGGGCTGGCCCGTCATCATTGCAGGAAGGGTACAGGCACCCGGGAGGGGTCAGAAAAGGGGCTGCAGGAGCAGGGTGATAAGTCTACAGCGTGGGCTCAACCCCCCCCCGGACACCAGCCCTGGTCCTGACCCACCTTCCCCAGGTGCCTGTGGACGTATGAGGTCCAGTTCTCCGCAGATGGTGAGGAGTACACTCCCATCAGCAGGAAGCCGTCCACCTTTAACCTCTATGTGTTCAGCCCAGGTGCGCCCACCACCCGCTGCCCGGGCTCAGCAGGGTGTTCCGTGGGGTGGGGTCCAGGGCACTGCAAAGCCCGGGGTGAGGGGGCTCTAGGGATCTGGGGCGGGTTTCAGGAGGCGTGCGCTCAAGAACAAACGTGTACGTTTACATCCTCAGACACAGCTGTCACCTCTGGCTCCTACCGGGTCCGAGCAGTGGACTACTGGGCCCGACCAGGCCCCTTCTCGGACCCCGTGCGGTACCTGGAGGTCCCTGCCCCCTGAGGGCCACCGCCACCCAGTGGCCACCCGCTGACTGGTGACCCTGGGCAGCCTGGAGCCGAGGCGGGCCAGACCACCATCGGCCAGACTTGGCTCTGTTCACCCTCTCCCGTGACTTACTCGCCTCCTTAAAGTGCCTTTCTGCTTGTCTGTCTTGGGATTGGCCTTTGTGGATGGGCATGTGGCCAAGCTGGGGCCTGGCTCTAGCGAGGCCTTCCCTACCCCCCGTTACAAAGTGCTTCCCCCCCCCACCACGGGAGCCAGGATGGGGGGCAGACCCAGCACAGAGAGACTGAGGTCTGGCTGCCATTAGGGTCAGACTGGCATCCCTGTTGGGTGCAGTGAGCCCCACTGCTGTCCCCGCTGCCCGTTCTGCAGAGCAGGGGCTGAGGCTGAGCGAGGAGGGGGCCTGCCTGAGTCAGGTTGGGGCCCAGGAGAGGTCTTTCCCCTTCCTGAACCCAGACAGGCTGCCCCCTAGACCCCACCAGGTGGGAGGCGGGGCAGGGCTTCCAGGCTGCTTGGCCCAAACCATGGCCAGCGGCAGAAAGGGCCTACAGTGCCATCTGCAGGCTGTGCCCGCCCCCAGGGTCATCCTGGTTCCGAACCTGAGCCTGGATGGAAACGGACGGTAGGCTGAGGCCTGGGTGACCTGGGACCATTTACAGAGATGTGGCAGTGGGCAGGAAGGTGCACGGGGTGTGCAGAGCCCCGGGGGCCCTTCCCACACCCATACCCACACCCCACCCCACCCCAGCAGATGGGGCAGGTGGGGGGCACATATCCGTCCCAAGACAGAACGGTGTGGAGAGGCCACCTGGCGAGGGGCAGAGACCTTCAGCTCAGGGGTGCAGACACCCTGGGGGCCCAGGAGCAGGAGTGGGGGTGTGGATCTCGTGCTCTTCCTCTGCTGCCCTCTGGCGCTGCGTTGGGCTCAGGCCTGGGAGAGGGGCAGATGGAAGACCAGACCCACTCAGCCCGCAGCTCTCCAGAACCTGCCAGTCCCGTCTACATGAGAAACACAGGGGCCACCGGTCCCCCCAGCTGCCCTATCGCAGGACGCCAGTGCGACCATCCTGCTCTCTGAACCCCAAAGTCAGCACACACTCCTTCCCCACGCGGGCACCTCAGTGCCAGGGGGGCCCAGTCTCCGTGAGGCACCATTACCCCTGACTGCTGTTACCATGCAAGGGGGAGTCCCCCGGGTTCAGGCATTGTTTGCCTGCCCCGTCACGAGGCCCTGTCACAGCCAGCCCAGGTGGCCACGAACAGCGTAACAGACCTGCAGACCGCGTGGTTCAAAGTACAGAAATGCGCTCTCCCCCAGCCCCAGAGGCCAGTCTGAGACCGACATGTGCGCAGCGTCGCTTCCTTTGAGGCCTCTTTTCTGGGCTTGTGCCCGGCTGCCTCCTTCCGCACATGTCTGTGTCCTAAGGTCCCCTTCCTGGAAGGGCGTAAGTCATATGGGATTGACATCATAATCTCTAAAGGCCCCATCTGTGGATACAATCCTATCCTGAGCCACTGGGGTTAGAACTTCAACATAAGAATTGGGGGGCATGGGGCGCCTGGGTGGTTCAGTCGGTTAGATGTCTGACTTCGGCTCAGGTCATGATCTTGCGGTTGACAAATTCCAGCCCCGCGTCGGGCTCCATGCTGACAGCTCAGAGCCTGGAGCTGCTTCGGATTCTGTGTCTCCTTCTCTGTCCCTCCCCCACTTGCCCTCTCTCTCTCTCGAAAATAAATAATAACACTAAAAGAAAAGCATAACTGTGGGGGCTACGGCTCAGCTCGTAATGAGCATCCACCCCCCACTGGTAAAGCAGCCTCTCTACCTGGCGGGTCAGTGGCCCGAGGAGCCACCTCAGCTTCAGGCTTATGGGAGGATCTGAGCTGCCTGGTGGGCCAGGCCCTTCCTTGGACGCCAGGACCTTGGAGCCTGCAGAGAAGAGGCCCCCTGGGCGGTGAGGCTGCCCTCCACCCCGCCCCAGAAAGGGGCACACGGTCTGCCCTGAGTCCCTGGCCAGAGCCGGCCACCCTTGACCGGGCAGTCCGCTGGGTCCCTCGGGAGGCGACTGCTCCGGGGCGGTCCGTGGAGATGGAGGCCTGGCACCGCTGTGCCCTCTGCTGGGCATGCTGTCCCCACCATGGCTGTAGTTTCCACGTAGTCAGGCTATCACCAGGTTGCCAACCCTTCCCCATTCTCTGACCCGCCAACCGTTAGCTCTGGTCCTTAACAGATTCGGGGTTGGGCTTCCTGAGAGCTGGGAAGTCCACGTGACGGGCCCACACACAGCCGGTGCCCCTGCTGCCAGCCTTTGCCCAGGCTCATGGCGACGGCCCTCGGATGGCAGAGGCCTGTCTAGGAGTCCTGTGGGGGGCACACCTCCAGATCCATGGAGGTGCTTCTGTGGGACGCAACACCCTCGCTCTGCTCCCCAGACCTTGTCCTCAAGCTCCCCATCTTGGGCTGTAGGCCTGTGGCCAGCCACGCCCCCTCTTGGACGCTACCCTGTGTAAAGGCAAGCCCGGGCCAGGTGTGTCAGCTGACACAGCGTATGCACTCGTTGGCCCGCCAGCCGGGTCTGCACATATCTCCTATTTCCCAGCAGCCAACGGGAACTCCAGGTAAAGCCCTCGGTCGGCTGAGAGGGCTCGGCCTCCAGGGTTTACCCTTCAGGACAATGCTGCATGTAGTTGGTGCTCCTTGGGCACTTGGGTCACATGGCCACTGGGTAGATAGGGTAAGACCTCAGCAGCAAGCTCAGAGCTGCCTTTCAAGTCGATAATTTATTTTATTTAAAAAAAATTTTTTTTTAATGTTTTTATTTCTAGGAGAGAGAGACAGCGTGAGCAGGGGAGGGTCAGAGAGAGAGGGAGTCACAGACTGAAACAGGCTCCAGGCTCTGAGCTGGCAGTCAGCACAGAGCCTGACGCGGGGCTCGAACCCACAAACCGCGAGATCATGACCTAAGCGAAAGTTGGATGCTTAACCAACTAAGCCTCCCAGGCGCCCCGATAATTTAATTTTTAATGTTTATTTTTGAGGGACAGAGAAAGAGACGGCATAAGCAGGGGAGGGGTAGAGAGAGGGAGACACACAATCTGAAGCAGCTCCAGGCTCTGAGCTGTCAGCGCAGAGCCCGACGTGGGCTCGAACTCACAAACCACGACATCCTGACCTGAGCCGAAGTCGGATGCTTTACTGAGCCCCCGGGTGACCTCAAGTGGATAACTGATCAAGGAGGACATGGCCCTGCTCTAGGGCACTAGGAGCCTGGGTTGGAGGGGCTTCTCTTGTGGGCACTTTCCGTCAGCAACATGGGCATGATGGGCCGTCCACCGAGTGGCGAGGTGGCCTGTGCCCTGCCCGGATGAACTGCAGGGACTTCTCTTGCCGACACTGCCCGCTGCCCAGGAAATCGGCCAGAGGAGCACACGCATATGTGGTGTATGCTGCACCCCAGAGCTAGTCTCAGCAAGTGCTGTGACCCACACAAGTAGGTGCCGCCAGGCACAACGACGGACCTTGCACGGGACACCCCGGCATCCCCAGCCCACCGGATCCAGGCTCTCCCGGAAGCTCCTGACCTTTCCCAGCCAGTGGTAGTCATGGGTTTTACTGACGCACCTGGGTGCCTGCCCACGTCCAGCCAGCCAGGCAGTGCCACCAAGAAAACCCAGATCCTGAAGGACCAGACAGGGGTGGTCCCGCCAAGGTGTGAGCGCACTGGCGCCCGCGTCGTGTGAGGACAACTGTTTCCAATCCTCAGGGAGGCTGGAGAGCACACGCAGGCTAGCCACGGGTCGAGGGACAGAACCGCATGTGGCTCCCCCAGGACCCGCGCTCTCAGCTGCGACCGGCCTCGCCGCAGGGCACGTGCCAGCCGCCTGCCCTAACAGCACCCTTGCGGCTCACTTCCGGGTCTGACGCTGGAACCGGTCACTGCAGTTGTCCCAGAACGTGCTGGCTCCGGCTTGGCAGGGAGGGGCAGGTCTGGGGGCTTCCGTGGCCCGGCCGCTGCTGTGGGGGCGCTGCCACTGCCTACTATGAACACCCCCTCCCTGCGCTCTGGGGACTGCAGAACCCCTGCAGGGAGGGTCTGCAAAGCCCTTGGACTCACAGGCTCAGGCAGTGCCCCCGCCGCCGTCCAACCTGTCCGCCCCCCCCCCCCCGCCAGCCACTGCAATGGCTTTTAGGTGACGGTATTGGCATCAATTCAGGGCCATTATCCAGTGACCCAGGAGGTCTGAGAGCAGACACGGTGCCCCGTACGTTGTTGGGGACGCATACCAGCGACTGTATTGTGAGTTCTTCCTTCCAGGGGCCAGCGCGCCCTCCGTCAGGCTCCGCAACATCACTGTGACTCGCTGTGTTTGAGAACGGCCCTGCAGGTGCCCCGGCAGAATGCCAGGAGCTGCCCGTCTGCTTTGTTTCTCGGGCGCCCCACGTGAGCAGCCCACTTCAGCGGCACCATGCGTGGGGCACCTGGGTCTTCTCGAGTCTGACTCGCTGGTCTGCCAGGCGCACAGCTGGGACCGCACTGCCAGTACCCCAGGCGCAGCTGGTTTGGGGAAGCAGGTACCACGGTATGTGGGGCTGTGGCTCCCGCGGGCGCCCAGCCTCCTCTCACTCCAGGGGCTCAGGCCGGCGAAGGAGGCCCGGTCCAGGGGCCGCACCGCCGCACACTAGTGTGTGGACCGAGATGGGCCGCTGGAGGCTCCCGGGCCCC